AAATGAGGAGTAGTCCCACAAATACCCAGTGCTTTGAAAGGAAGAAATTATTTTTCAATAAAAGTAATTACTTTCATTGAAAAGTAATTTCTTCCAAAACTTCAGCATTCATCTTAATTTGTAATCCCAGAACTTTCCCCTTGTCAATGAGGGATATTACAAGCACCATACAACTTTGTAAAATCCAAGGCTGACCTTTCTTGTATCTGTTACCAGAAAATCATTAATTTTATTACTTCCTTGAGACACATAGCTTCATCTGTGGCTTTTTTATTCATCCACAGGAGGCATACTGCTAATTAATTTTATCCTTGGTCAGAGCATTGTGTATTCTGAGAGGATAATGGGGAAAAACATATGGGAGCATGAATATCTTTTTCTACTTGCAGGATATTATTGTAAGTGATATAGCAAATGGCTTAGTTTGATGGATCCTCACTTAGTACCTGTAGACCAGAGAGGATACTCAGTGTGTGTTGGTTGGCTCAGTTAGTTTGACTCCATTCTTGGTCAGAACTGAAATTGTTTGAAAGTAGTCCTGAAGATGTATTAATATATTGAATTTAAAAAATCCTCATCCAAAAAGATGTTCACTGATTTTTAGAGAGACAAATGGAGAGAGAGAAACATCAGTTGGTTTTCTCCCATGCACACCCCCACTAGGGATCGGACCCACCCTGACTGGGGATTGAACCCATGACTTTTTGGTGTATAGGATGACATTCTAACCAAATGAGCCATCCTGCCAGGTCAATATATTAACTTTTGGAACTATGGTAAAACTTATACTTCCAAAGTGTGATTTGGAACTTAAAAATAAACTCCAATACTTCAGACATTTTTTTCCTGCTGCAAACCATGTTAATTTCAGTGTCAGATCAGGGTGGCTTTGATTGGTGCCCACCCATGTCTTCTGGTTTCAGAATGCTGGTGAGATCTCATTGCCTGCAAGGACTTTGCTTCTTCTATTTTCAGACCCAGTTTATCCCAGGGTATGCCTAACAATTAGTGGTGTGACATAATTTTTTATTGGCAGCTTTATATTTCTTTGGGCACGCACAGTGATAATGGGATAAGAAAGAGGAACTACCTTTATTGTCTATTCATCACGGATCGAGCAATGAGATGAGCAATTTATAGACATTATTTCATAGACTGTTCCCATGAGCTCTGTGAAGGAGGCTTTTTCAGTTTTGTGGGAAGTTGAGATTCAGCAGGTGATGAGACTTATCCAAGATCACAAGTTGGCAAGTGTCAGAGTTAAGATTCGAACACAGATCAGGATGGCTTTATTATGATACGAACCTTTGGATTCTCCATCTGACTTGCCCTTAGCTTGTTATTTCATAAAGTGGTTTGCAGACATTTACATTCTGGTGCGAAGAAGGACCTTGTGATCACAGGGTCAAATCCATCACGTCAGAGATGAGGAAGCGAAGGCTGAGAGAAGTGAGTTTCCCAGCGTGGCCAAACAGGAAGCTGTGCCACTGAGAATCAGCGTGGCCAAGCCGGGGTAGCGGGGGGTGGTTCCAGGCTCTGGCAGTGTCTCCACCTCCTGCACACAGTGTGTGCCGCCGGGCCCCCCGTCTGGGGTTGCCCTTCATCCCTTTGAGGCACTGGCACTGAGCTCACGCCTCCTTCTCTGTCGCACTCTTTCAGACCTCAAGACGATTGCTCACCCATGCCCCCTCTTTCCTCTCCTTACCCCTAGAGAACCTGTCTCTTGTGTGACGCACCCTCCAAAGTGACAATGAACCTATACAAAGATGATAGTGGAACAAGATGAGAGAAGTTTCTCCAGGGCCTGTGCTTGGAGACACTGCCCACATCTTTGTTTGTTACCTCAAGACAGTGACTTTGATGGTAGAAATGTCAATGGAGATGGGAGGGAAAGTGTGAGATGTACAGACTATGGTGACAAGATATTCTAGAGGCACCAGGGCTTCAAGGAGCCTTTGACGCACTCGGCAGCCTCTCACTCTGCCTACAGAGAGGTGGGTGGCACAGTGTAAGGGCTGGCATCCACACACCACTCCCCTTTCTAGCCTACGATGAAGCTGACGGGCCAATGCCCTCCACACTGGGGGAGGATTCAGAGGCCTGTTTAACACAGTGTCCTGGACAGCACCTTTCAATCGGCTGCCACTGGTTATAGGGGTGAAGCAAACCTATTTGCCATCGTCAGTGTCATCGAAGGCCGATGACAGCATAACTGAGCCTCCATTTCTCCCAATGGAAAAAGGAGAAAATAATCATTGATTTACAGAATTGCTGTAAGACTTAGAGATACCATGTATAAGAGCACGGTGGATTCCATGGAGCCTGGTACGTAGTGGGTGCTCAGTGACTGTACATGGTCATTATCATCAGGTTAATGCTGATGGGGAGGGGGTAAGCCTAATGCCAAAGCTGCAATATAAAGGAGTCAGCGATTGTATAAGAAAGGTACTCTTGGCCTCCATTTGTTATGTTTCTTTATCTTGTGATGTTTCAGACACAAGTCCGTATGTTTCAGGTCTAATCTAAAAGGGCCCAATAGTTTCCTTCAGAAACCTGGCTCAGGATGGCAGCTCACTGCTGATTGGCTGGCTCTAGACCCAGCAGGCTGGGAGACCACACCAGGTAAACAGTCTGTCCCCTCACACCCCCTGTTCTGATTATGATGTTCCCAGGCTGAAGCGCTGAAGAAAGTCCTTTATTCCAAGCCTAGTTCAATTTTCTATGAAACACATACGATAATAATCTGACTCTAGAAATAGGTATATTGATGATACAGGGATGGATTCACTGAGGGCTATTACATGTTTTGAAAAAGTCAAACCTTTAATGAGTCACATGTTTATTTAAAGAACACCTTCTTCTTTTGCAGGAAATGGGAATATTTTAACTTCTGTATTTAGTATCATTTGCCCACTTAATGGGCATCTTAGCCATCTCTGGCTATGGCGTTATTACAGTGATACGTAAACTCTGAAGGGCAGGGATGATGTCTGCTTCTTTTATTTTTTAGACCACCCAGAATAATGTTGCAAGCACGAGGTTTTCGATCCATTTGTATGCTGCTGATGCAGATTGGAATGTGAACTGAGTCCCATCCTCATAAAGGATATTATTTTATTCTTAGTTTAGACTCTTAGGAACCAGCTATCATATCTTGCATATAGCACAAATGTGTACTTATTAGTTTATTTTAAAAAGTATCAATATTAACTGACTTTCTATTACCAAAGCCTGCTCAATGTAGAAAATGTGAAAAATTCTGAAACCTATGTAGAAGACATGAAATGTCTTAATTCCCATGCTGGAAGATAAATCACTTTGAACATCTTGGTATTTTTTTCCTATATGATTCATTTCCAAGTGCTGTTAATATTATCTAATCCTTAGCTCATTTTAAGGCTTTCAAACTGATTCTTCTCACTGTGATTTCCATCCTTTCAGGTAGTGATCCCATGTTCTTTCCAGGAAGAATTATTGTTTTGTTATTTTTCAATGTATTGAAATGTGTTGTGAGTGAAGGGAGTGAGTTTGCCATGAGCTACCAGTGACTGCCTCCTGTCTCGAAGGAAATTTGTGGTTACCACAGAGGAAAATTTAATCCATCTTGCCCCAGTGCATTTGTTCTCCTGAGAGCTGGGTGAACTACCTTTGACTGTTTCCCTAAGATTATGTCACCCTCCAAGGTAACTTTCTGTTTCAGCAGGTGATGTTAAGAAACAAAACAACACCCTTTAGGTGAATCAGTTTTGGAAAATAGAGACCTGCTTTATATCCCAGGTCTTTGATGTGTTTAGAGGTTCCTGGAAGGATCTGCCTCTCTTTTGTTTTGATTTACAAGACCTTTCCTATATATTTGAGCAGTCCAGCAGCCCAGTAACCGAGGGTAGAGACATTTACCCAGAGCAAACTTCTATCACTCATTGTGACTTGCTGGGACTTCGGGTGCTGGTGTGAGCTCTAAGAGAAGAGTTAGCTCCGGCAAGATCAGGTAAGTGTGCCTCTGCGATTGTGACTTCACTCTTCTTGAGGGGAAGTCCGAAGAGCCCTGGTGAGGTGACAGGTTGGATGTAGGGCCTGGGAGATCAGATTCAGAAATAAATAAGTTTGCAGCTTTCTAAAGCAAAAATGAGTTGAGGGTGTTCATTAATGCAATGTCCACTCTCACTTTGACATCCAGGTGTGTTCTGTCTAGTGGGCTGAGCATGAAGGGATTGATCTGGCTTCTGAAAAAGCACAGGATGTGGCCGAGACCCAGAGAGGATAGAACTTAACAGGAGGGTGGGACTATGTTTTAAACGCCTCTGGTGCTTTCCATCATTTGGATTTAAATTGAATCACAACTAGGTGCCATGATGGCAGAGGCATAGAGCAGAGGCATTTTAGGGTGGCTAGAACACATTACAGACAGCCACCAAGTCCAGTGCCAGGCTTCACAGTATCTCGTGCATATCCATGCTGTGTGGAGGGTTGGGTTAGTAACAGTACAGGTGGGCATACAATTATTATTTACCCACCTCCACACCTTAATTCCCCACCTACAACTCTGAAAGTGTAATTTTGAGAAAACGTGTAATGTGGCACCAAATACAGTGGATCTGAGTAAAAATGATTTGTGTGTATTCATGTATTATATTAGGAGATGCATTACTTTTGATGTGACTTGTATTTTGTGTTCATTTTGAAGAGACCATCAGAGCATGCTTTTTTTAACACCCAGGCCAAGTCTAGCAGTTGGGCCAAAATGAGGAAAAGCCTGAGGATGCCCGTGGGGGGTTAGGTGTCCAGTGAGCACAGTGGGTCCATGGAATCCATATTGGAGTCACTTAGAAAAAACTTTGGGCACTTGTGTTGGAGCTTGTGGGCATCTGCAATTTCTTGGCTCATTTCTTCTGGAATGCTAAGAGCAAGGTCCCTTTGACAGCAACTGTGCTGGCTGCCCCTTGGAGGACAACTGGATCTGTTCATCAACTCTCTTTGCTTTCCCTCCCCAGAGGAAGAGCATGAAGCTGGCATACCTTCTCCTTGGCCCCATGGCCCTCCTCCTCCTGGCTGGCTGCTGCTGTGTTCTCAGCACCACCAGCGGGAACCTGCACACCTTCGTGGGCTGTGCCGTGAGGGAGTTCACCTTCCTGGCCAAGAAGCCAGGCTGCAGGGGCCTTCGGATCACCACTGATGCCTGCTGGGGCCGCTGTGAGACCTGGGAGGTGAGTCTGAGACTGGCCCTGTGGCAGGGCCTTCAGGGCCAGCGACTTGGTGTGATTCCTGAATGTTCACTTTTTTGATGGAATAAGGTAAAGCTAGGGCATCTGTCTTTTCCTGTGGGCTTTTAAAAAATAACAATTATTAGGCATGCTCCAAAAATATCTGAAGGAAACATGACCTTGCCCCTCTAAAAATGCATTGATAAAGTAATAATTTTACTCGGATGGTGTCTGTGTATTTGGGAATCAACTCTGGGAGTCAAGATGAGCTATTATTCTACCCATTTTACAGATGACATGGAGGAATCCGAGGGGTAAGTGACTGCAGAGTCATATTTATTTCCACAGTGGAAAGGTAGGAATGATTCTTGGTTCAAGCATGGAACCAGAACTCTTCCCTGTGTTCTTCCTGCTGTGACAGAGCCCCGAGAGAGAGGCCCTGGGCTGTATGGCAGCTGAGGGGCATCCTCAGCCCCTCCTTCCGTGCTGCTCCTACAGCCCCGCCCCCAAATTCCTGGGGGCCTCAGGGATTATCACTGACAGATCTGTTAAGTCCCTTTAGTTTTTAAAATATATTTTATTGATTATGCTATTACAGCTGTCCCATTTTCCCCCCTTCACTCCCCTCCACCCTGTACACCCTCTCCCACCCACATTCCCCCCCCTTTAGTTCATGTCCATGTGTCATAAGTTCTTTAGCTGTTACATTTCCCATACTATTCTTGCCCTCCCCCTGTCTATTTTCTACCTACCATCTATGCTACTTATTGTCTGTGCCTTTCTCCCCTGTTTCCTCCTCCCACTCCCCTGTTGCTAACCCTCCATGTGATGTCCATTCTGAGGTTCTGTTCCATTATTATTGAATTACATTCAGCCTTTTCAGAGGCATTGCATTTAAACTGGGGATAAAAATAGAAAAGAACCTTATAGGGCTATGGTGAAGATGTGTTTGCTGGATGAGAAGAGAGAGGGCCATTCAGCACCCCATCAAATCACAACATAGAGTGACCATTGACTCTTCCCACTGGGCCCTTAATTGGTTACTAATGAAGTACCAGCTCTGATCTGGTCTTCTGGCTCAAAAATCTTTCATGGCCACCCACGACTGCAAATTCAATAACTGAATGTCAAGTTGTTAGCAATATGACGTCTGCCTCTTTTCTCAGCGACTATACATATTCTGAGCTCTGTCCTTGTCAGATTGATTTGAAAAGTTTTATTCATCACCCTTCATGAAATCTCAGTTTTGGGTTTTTTTTGTATCCTTTCTCATCTCCATCTGTCATGATCAAATTTACGCTTTGATGACAGAACTGACTCCTTTCCCAAGGGTTTTCTGACTCCATGACTCTACCCTATCTTCTGTCTTACTTCCTTGCCCACTCTACAACCCTAAATTTTAAGTTTTTTGAGGGCAGAGATTAATTCTTGCAACTTTTACAGCTCTTGTCAAAGTCATGCATGAACCAGGCAATCATAAACACCTGGTTAATTATATGGGACTGACCTCTACCTGGAGTTATGATGTTTATCCTCTAGCCTAATCAACACCAACTTAGAAGCCCTTGCACACCATGAGAGGTCACTGTCATTAGGAAAAATGTCTTCCTATTCAGGGACTCAGAGAGCAATCTACCATCACTTAGATAAAATTATAGCCCCATGAAGGAACTGAGTTATGGTGATGAAACTTCTAAATTAAATGAAACTGCTCCAGCAAGTTAGCTTTATTTTTGCATCATCAAGGGCTTGAGACCTAGTAGCCAAATGAAAATTTAGTTGCTAAAGATACTGTGGTCGTGACTTGACATCAAACATACTCAGGGAACTTGGACACCTTCTCATATTCAGGGCTTGGCCTGCTGGCGCCTCCCTCTGCCTGAAGTTCATTTTTGGGCTACTTGGAGCTCTTTCTGGGCCCATGTCTCACCCCACCATTTCCTTTAATTCCATCTTCTCTTCTCCTTATTAACTGATGAATGTCTTTAATTGGATCATGGTCACCCACAGGAGGTCAGGAACTATGTTCTCACTGGAGAAATTAAAGCCCCAAGACCATTAGACAGCGAGATTCTCCTTCATGTTAGCTAGCTTTTATTGATGGCTTCATTGCTGTGAAAAGGGAGGTTACTTATAGAAAATAAATAAAAGAATGTGATTCATTTCCCCAGCAATCCAAAAGTTTCTGTGATATAAAGCACTATTTTTGGTAACTTAACTGGAGAACGTGCCTGAAAATAGGATTGTTCATGGTGAGAAAGTGGCTGCATTTACTTTGAAGGTCAAACTGTTGCTGAAAATAAGCATTTACTCATGGCCCAGGTTTAGGGTTGCCTGGTTTAACAAAAACCAAAACAAAACAAAAACAAACAAACCCCCCCCCCAAACAGAATAAAACCATGGTGCATTAAACTTGAATATCAGATAAACAACCATTTTTTCGTATAAGTTTGTCCCACACAACATTTGCAACAGACTTATACTAAAAGAATTTGTTGTTCATTTGAAATTCAAATATGACTGGGTATCCTGTATTTTATCAGGCAACCCTGCCTAGGATTCCAGATTACTGAGGAAAAAGGACATAAAGCAAAATGAGTAAGGGTGAAATACTACCTTAGAAGCAGGAGAAAGCAATTGATGTTAAATTAAGCTTTTCTATACAATCCTTTCATTGAAGAATTTCATCCAAGACCTCCGTCACACATATTTTTAATTTTAATTTTATTTTTTAAAAAGATTTTATTTATTTATTTTTAGAGAGGAGGAGGGAGGGGGAAAGAGAGGGAGAGAAACATCAATGTGTGGTTGCCTCTCAAGCGCCCCCTATTGGGCATGTGGCCTGCAACCCAGGCACGTGCCCTGACTGGGAATCGAACCGGTAACCCTGTGGTTTGCAGGCTGGTGCTCAGTCCACTGAGCCACATCAGTCAGCGTGCCCATATTTTTTAATTTGCTCTGATAAGAACAATAGATTACATTTACTAAACACTTACTGGGTGCAAGGCCTTGTGCATTACATAGACCATCTCACCTTATCTCCACAATGGTGCTCTGGGGTGGATACTGTTTTACAGATGAGAAACTGAGACCTCAGGAGTTTGTTTACTTGGAGGAGACAGATGAACAAGCAAACAAATGAATTACGAGTTGATTGCTGATAGCAATAAATGGTATCAAGAAAATGAAGCAGGATAGTATGTTTTAATGCAGCAATTTTCAACCTTTTTCATCTCATGGCACACATAAGCTACTAAAATTCTGCAGCACCCCAAAAAGTATTCTTTTTGCTGATCTGACAAAGAAAGATGGTATGATTCTGATTCACTCACAATGGGAGGCTACTGTTGTGTTGGGTGTTGTTGTTTTTTTATTTGACAATCTAAGGGAAAAGAGGTCAGTGCCCCTGACTAAATAGTCAGGTAGTTTTAAAAACTCCTATAGCACCCCAGTTGAAAATCGTTGTTCTAACGGGTTTCCTATTTTTCACCTGTGGGGACAGAAGCCCATTCTGGAGCCCCCCTACATCGAAGCCCACCATCGAGTTTGTACCTACAACGAGACCAAACAGGTGACCGTCAAGCTGCCCAACTGTGCCCCCGGAGTCGACCCTTTCTACACCTACCCCGTGGCTGTCCGCTGTGACTGCGGGGCTTGCTCCACGGCCACCACTGAGTGTGAGACCATCTGAAGAACACAGATGACAGCCGTGAGCCTCACAGACCCACCGGCATGGGCAGCACCAGCAGCTATTACCCCTGGATTCAAGGACTTTTTAATTTGGAGGAGGTTATCTGTCTCCCTTAGGTCCAGCTCAGGCACGAGACCCAGAGGCAGCAAACATAAGCTATGATGCAAAACAATATTTGTGCCGTCACTAAAATAATTCTCTAGTTCACAAACCCGCAAAGTTAATTTTTCTTTACCTTGAAGCTCAGAACATAATTTGAATAACACTGTCACCCTCCAATTTGGATTTATAATATGCCAATGGTTTAAATGCATTTGGGTATAATTAGGCATGGGTCTGGAAAGTTTTTAAATTCTCATGTCCTCCTTAATGACTGGTCTCCCACTAGATTTATGACCAAAGGGCCAGAAATCAATGAAATCCATGTTTAATTCTCATGCCCCCGCCCCAAATCTCACTGCAAGCTTCCTTAGAGGAAGACTCCCTTCTCCTTTTAATGGAGCAATTATCTACACAAGAGACAGAGACCTCTCAGACGTTTAAAAGGTAGGGAAATAGTAGCTCAAATTGAAAGGAGTCTCGATTTGGGTGATCCTTTTTCTAAGTGAATTCCCTAAGTCCCCTTAAAATCCTTAACAAAGAGGTCCCTTTAAAATAAAAATCTCACAGAAATTGTAATTATAGCTATCATTTACACTTAGAAACCTACAAAATTAAACTCATGTTTGTGGATTCATGTGATGTTCTCCCAAAGCAATGCCCAAAATGATGAATCACAAGTGGCATTTCCCATTTAGCATATTTTAAATTGTAGTTGTAATTTTTTAAACTCAGAAATTTTACAGTTTGTAAGGGGTAAAACTGCATTGCTAGCTTAGGGGAAAGTCTGTGGTTGTATAGCTTTTGTCCTCTCGAAAACCTTACAGCAGCTGATTCTCTGTGACTTTAAAAAACAAACTCTAATGCTATGCAAATGTCTGTAATTCTGACATTTTGGGGATTGAAATTAACCTTGTTCCTTTTCCACAATATGCCAGGAGAATCTTATTAATGCCAATAAAGCATGTCCTCTGTCTTTTGAATTCATAAAAACTTTCCAAAATGGTCTTATTTAATACACTTAGAATAACAATAACAAGCCTTTCTAAAAATGAATTGCAAGGTTATTTTTACTTACACATTAACTTAGGACGTCATGTTTAGTAAGGGACATGGAGAGCTGGCTGGGTACCACGAGTCCCCAAAGTGTTCCTGCCTGTGCTCCTACCCCCAGCACATCACAGCTGGAGCCCAGGAGTCCTCCTTGAGTGACGGACCAGTGAGTCCCCATGAAAACATAAAGCAAAATTGGGATTGATAGTCAAGGACTGGGAGCATCTGGGAACAAAGACCACGAGCAAAACCCAGCCCAACCTTTAGTGCAGAGCCATTTTGGTCGGCGAGAAAGTCAACTCTGACATGAAAAGCAGCTGAGTGCTGGGGGCCTGTGCTGGGACAGTGGGTGGTGACAGGGGGTGATACTGGGCCACGCCACTCGAGTGTTTTCAATGCATCCCTATGAACATCCCTCAGGACTTTTTGAGAGAAAGGCCTGCTTCTTAAGGAAAGTTAGGGGAAATTGGCAGAGCTCATAAGGGCTTGCCAGAGTCTGAGGAAAGACCCAGCATCTGTAAGGGTCCTGACAGTAAGGGTCCTGATGGGAAGGAAATGAGACAGGGCAGTGGGGGACTGAGGAGATGAGGAAACCCACAGGGGCTGTGAAAGACGTCTGAACACTTGTTTAGGAGCAATGGGCAGCCCTAGGCTGACGGAACAAGAAGAGGGTGTGACTATCAGACCCCAGAGAGCCTTGTAGGAGAGGGGTGCATAGGAAGATGCAGCCAACACCACCTGAGGCCTGGTGGGGAGGGAGGCTGGCAGCGCCCCAGTGTCACTCTGCTCCCCTGCCCGGATCTTCTGCTGAATCCAATGGGAAGGCAGAGAGCGAGGGAGCCCACTGACTCTGTCCATACACGTTGGCCTCCTGGGAAGCAGGTTGCAGAAGGGTGGAGAGGGATCTATGGGGCAAAAGAATGAAATCCGGCATAGCTATCTTTTGGGAAGCGTAGTGAGGCTGTCTGCCCCCAGCAGTGCTATGGGCCGTGGGAGCAATGAGGCATGCTGCAGCATCTCAATTACTGTGATGGGTTGGGAGGGGATACACATGGAAAAAAAGTAGGTACTGGCTAACACAGTATGATGCCATTTGAGAGGTGTGCAATAATGGTAACCACCAGGACTATGGGATTAGTTGACTGGTAAGTGCAATCAAAGCACTCGGGGCATGGTATGAAAGCTGACTTTGAAGAGATTCTTTTCTCCTGAAGCTGGAAATCAGGCCTAATTGGGAGAGCCGCTGAATTATTAAGAAGGCTGTACCCACCACACTAGCCATCTCCTATACTTAAGCCAAGGGCCTCCTGGGGAAGGAGTGGGGCACAGAGGCCTGCAATGGGGACAATTAGTGGATGAGGCTGAGTTTCCCTCGCAGAAGGGGCCACGTCACCTTGCCAGAGACCAGCCTCCCGTGCTTGGAGACCTGGCTGAGGACTCATCCCAGGAGGACGCTTTCCAAGGTCATACTTGCCCTCCTCACACACTGCCCACAACCCCTGTTGGTTCTACTTGGATAATTGGGGTCAAGTCTCAGGAAGACCTGGCTGGGGAAGGATCTTCCCAGTGATGGGAGGGCTGGGATTCTCTACTGAAGCTGCCTTGTCACTTGACTAGTGTACACAGTGACCAGTAGAATGAACTTGGGAGTGGATCTGAGGTTGTCAGACTGGGGTGAGAGAAGAGAGGGTGTCAGAGTATAAGACTGGATAAGAGTTCAGTCACATGGGGACATTGTCCGATGCTCAGGATTTCATGTCCTCGTAAGAACACCTGAATCTAGTCCCTATACACTATTGGGTGACACCTTAAAGCCTGGGCAAAACGGTGGCTTGCATTAATGAATAGAAGATGCCAGAACTGTCCTGGAAGAGTTTTTGAGGACAAAAGGCTCAGAAAGGTTGGTCTTCTAGAATGGGTTTATTACATGAGACCAGAGAACCCACCAGCTGGCTATGGTCATCTGGCGGATTTGGTGCGCATGCCCTTTGATAAAGCAATGTAAGGAATGTGCCGCTTAGGGGTGTCCACATCGCAGGAAAGCTGCACAGTGGCTGTCCTTTGTAGACGGAGGTTGGTGTCAGGAGAAACCGCTGTGAAACTAGGCTCCTTGGTGTCAGTGGAAGTGGGAGGGGTCTGGAACAACAGAGACCAGGTGGTGATGTGCAGCTGTAAGACACAAGGCGACCATAATTGCTGTACCAGGCAGCAAAGCTCATGGCACCCAGGGGACTCTGATGGGTAGGGTCTGTGGGCTGTACCTAGTCCATGGTATTCAAAACACTTCTACAGGAAATACATATTATAACCAAAAAGTTATTAATTAAAAGGAGGAGACTATGTCTGTTGGTGCTAAATTTGAATCTTTTCAAATTTCTGTCTTCCCCTTTTCTTTCTCCTCCTCCCTTCTCTCTCTCCCACTTCTCTCACTTCTACAAACATTTATTAACTCTAATTTTGTGCAAGGCACTGTGCTTGGGAAAAAAGTTATAAATATTGCCACCTTTTCTGGGTGTTACTAAAAGCAGGACTCTTGATATTAATGCTTTGTAATTCTTGTGTCAACTACACTCTTAGGCATTGTTATTACCATTCTGCAGATGATGAAACCAGGTAACTTGCCCCAGAGCAGACAACTGATGGACAGCACAGGCCAGGTTTCCCTGACCCAGAACCCAACTCTCCCCATGGGAGCACGTTGGCTCTTTGGAGTGCTCCTTCCAAGTCAATCCTGCCTGGAGAAGTCTTTGAATTTACTGATGTCAGCCTCGCTCTCACCATTGATGAGCACGTTTGCAGTTCCTTCTGGACCTGGCTCATGCAGACTTGGGTTGTTTAATGGACATTGCAACTCCTCTCTAGTTTCCTGCATAACCTGTAGGAAGGCAATGTTTTGCTGTAGCTCAAATCAAAGCTTACTTCAGGAGAGACTGAGGGTGAAAAGGAGCTGAGCTTCAAAGGGAAATTCAGACAGCTGCGGAGATGAAGGTGGTGTTCTTGCGCCTCGTTTCCCAGGTAAGGTGAACTCAGGGTGCAGGAGAATGATGCTTCAGTGCTTTTGAGGGGAGCTCTGGATAAAACTAACTCTCAGCAGCTCATTACTCTTGGATATATGTTTATTTTTGCAGTTAACGAAAGGTAAGGAGAAGTTGGATTTCCCCACTATGAGCATTTTTAAATGAAGAATATAGTTTCTCAGAATTCATTCTACTTCTGGGTTTATTAGCTCCATTGATTGAATTCCATTTCCCTTCTCCCATTGGTTAGGAAATGAATGAGGCACCAGGAAAGTGCCAAATTCTGCTGAGTGACCCAGTGAACCCCTCCAATTAATTAGATTTTTAACTTAATAAAAATATTCCTGAGATAACAAATGAACTATATATCTAATTGAAAATAATGTAGCATTGGTAAAATGAATTGTATTTCATGAAGTTTTCCAAGGACTGCTTGTCTTCTTTATTCAGGAGATGTTTTCTTAAAAGTAATGTGCACCTTATCCTTTTTGGTTTTCTTCAAAACATTAAATTATTAAGAAGTAACTTTTAAGCCATGCTTTAGCAAATTCTGCAAATTTTATTATCTGTTGACATTTTCTACTAGCAAAACAGTTTACTGGAAGTTTGGTCCTCATTTGCAAGGTGGATCTTCTGGTATTTCTTTTACAGCGATCTCCCTTTGTTTTAAATGAGTGTGATTGTTTGCACTTGGAACGGAGAGATCCTGGCTCAATGGCTGGTTGTGACATCGAGTATGCAAAGGGGTGCTGAAGCCCTCTGAGGTGGTGACGTCCAGGAAAGCAATGAGAAATGGGAAAAGGATGAGAAAAGAGGAGCGCGTGAAAGCGCTGTAATTGGTAGGGGAAGGCGGAGGCTTGTAACAAAGTTAGAGGGATTATTCTATTCTCTGTTCCAGGTCCTCATTATCAGGAGTAAAGTCAACATTTCCTAAGCTTTGTGGCTTTATATTTGACTCTAAGTTCCTCCAGCTGTGCCATTTCTTTAGCACACTGCATAATTGAGTTAACAAAAAACAAACAAACAAAAAAGGCTTCCTTATACACAGAATCAATTACATGCTTTGAACATGATGGTTAAAAAACTGGGGCTTTGGAAAGTTATTCAAACGCCCAATAAAACAACTTCCCAACAGCCAGCCAACCAACCAAACATTCCCCAAAAGAGAAAGAAAAAGCATTTTGCTTTAACAAATAATATCAATATTACTAAAATGAGAATGGTAACTTATTGGGGGGGGATTGATGTTTAAAATAGGATTTCCATCAAGGAATAAATGCAAATATCCCCGAGTCTCAAACAACATGATACAACTTAAAATCACTTGAAAGAGTATCTATTCACTTAGAATACACTATGTACACACAGTGAAGGATATAGGTGCATCATAAACAGTCTATCTTGAGCAAGTATACATACAGAATTATGCACTTAAAATGGAAATTTAATCCTGTTCATTTGCAAGTTCTTCCTACGGGAAATGCAGGAACAAATCATGTTTTCTTGGTCTCACTGTTGCTGCTCCAGCAGATCCCTGGGAAGACTGACATGGTTGAGGTGTACCTTCAAAGGAAGGCGATCTCAGCTTTAAACTTCCATCTTCCATTTCCCTCTTGGAATCTGCATATTGAAACGGAAATATCTGGGGGGAGCCAATGTTACTGAGTGGAATTAAGACATTCAGCATTTTAAAAAGATGTTGGAAATGTTTTTAAGAGGAAGATTTTGATCAGCTTTTGGCTCCTGCTGGAGCAAACTCAGAAGCTAATGCTGAAACATCTCCCCATTGAAACATAAGTGTCAGTTAATGAGAAACAGAGTCCAGTTGAAATCGGCTGTAAATTTCAGCATTAACAAAACCCAAGCCAACTTCCGGACAAAGCCAAAAGGAACTAATGTAGCATCAGTTCACTCAATGCCAATCTCCACGCTGTCCACTGTAGACAGGTGGGGAAACAAAAGCAAGTCGACTCTGATCAGGAGTTTTTCTTGTGTAGCACTGAATTATTTCAAGATGGTTCATTCAGTAACGTTTTTATTCAGATGAAGCGAGGCCCTCAGAGGCACTGGGATTTCATGTTACTGTTGCAAGAAAAAGATGGCGAATCAAACACTTAAAAAATCACAAGTAAACGAATTTTGAAGGGAGATTGAAAATTGATGCAAGTTTTCTTGCCCTATTTGTCTCTTAGGAAGAAGATAAACAGACTTTATCCTGTGGCCAGGGGAAGACAATGAATATGAGGGTGTGCTGTGCCGTGCAGGATGTAGGTGGACAGGCAGTCCCTGGTGTAAGAAACACTTTTTGGCAGCTTGCGCCAGTGGTTATGAGCAAGAAATCAGGGATGCATTTGCGATGATGAAAATAATCTTTGGTAAGACTCTGTTTTTGGATTTGACTAAACCCTTCCAAGAATGCTAGCCATTTTGGGTAGCCATGCTGCTTCCAAACAAAAAAAAAGCTGCCCCAGGTTAAAAGCTTCTCAGTTTAAAGGTGTCTTGGGCACACGTGCATTCCTGAGCCTAGAGTAGGAAGGAAGACACCTGACTGAGATTACCCAAGTCAGAACTGCCCTCAGTGCAAAGGGCAGCCTGCCTCAGGGAGCAGAGGTGGTCCTTCCCAGAGCGGGTGGTGCCTTAAGGACTGTGTGTGCACAGTGACAGCAGGTCCTTACTCTGCTGTTGCCAGGTACAGAGAAAATGGTAACCCTTGTGCGCTTTCTTTATTTGTTTGAAGGTAGGTATGATTTGCCTTCAGAACTTCTTTAGCAACAGTGGAACCCAAAGTAGATGACAGGCTTTAATGTGTGCACGCATGTGTACGCGTTTTTAAGGGCTCTTGTACACAAGGTTGGGTGTGTGTGGGGAAAGAAAGCCTGGCTCCCTGGGATGTTTGGCAAAAACACGTTGAATAAGTGAACACAACTCCGGTCTGTGCCTAGGACACACACACGGAAATCTGCAGAATGCCCTGTTCAGAGGACATGTTGTCTGCAGTCCATCTTCACTGCGGTGTCTAGGGCACGGTGTCTTCGTGAAGCTTCACCAAAAGTTTCATGCCTCAGAAATTTGTTTTATCTGTGTTTTATAACTTCATGCAATGTGAATCTTCCTTATTTCTCCATGGAAAGCCATTCTAGGGGGGCATTTTTCCCTCCCCTATAAACAGCAGAAAGACTTTCAGAACAGAATTATTCAATCCTTCAGAGTTAGCAGATCTTTCCAAGCAGATGCTGCTTTTCTCTTTTGATTCCAAAATATGCCTTTTCCTTTTCTGCAGCTGGGCAGCACATGACAGGAAAAAGAAAGGACTTCTGAAAGCCTTACTATCCATCCTGTGAATGTGAACAATTCAAATATTAGCCTAAGGAATACCCAAAATGTAGCATCTGAGAGTCAAGTGAAGCTGCTGGTCTCTTCTTCAGGGCGCTGCATGTCTGGGTGTCTCACAGATCAGTATTCTCACATTTTAATGCTCACACAAATCACCTGGGGCCTTTTTAAAATGCAGATTTGGATTCATTAAGTCTGGACTGGGCCTGAGATACTATCCTAGTCCTCCTAACTAGGTCCCGGGAAATACACACGCTATTGGTTCCTGCACCGCACTTTGAGTAGCAAAGAGCTAGACGATGTTCGTGTTCTAACTAACAGAGGCCCGGGGAAGGCAGTTTCCTTGACTGGCTGCTTTAGACATCCTTGGATAAAGCAGAAGTGACAGTGGGAGAAAAGACACATGACTTAAAAGTCAGAATATGGCACAAAATAAAATTCAAAGTTAAAGAGTACATGAAAGAATATTCCATTAATTATGGTAAGTATACATTAAAAAGTCATGACCTAGGAAACAGATTGCAAGAAAGCCAACTGTGAGCAGGCTAGCCCTCCTTCCCTTGTCCTATCATTTCCCTTGTGCAGACTGCACAGGGGGAAACACGGACCGTTTCCGCTGGGGTGAGATTCTGCTGAGTGTACTCAAATGGCAATACTGTTCACTCGGAACAAAAAGCAGTTCAAGCCGGGTGATGAGAAGAGTGTACAATTTATTAATCTCCTGGCCCATGGCTTCTCTAGGGAGGGACAAAATCCAATTCCTTAAAAATAATTGATTTAAAACCTGGTAGGTGGTGATATTTTTAAGTGTGTATTTACAAAGCTGCCACAAATATGTCACTCTGCCATGAAAGAGTTTCTATTATTTCTCCAAAGAATTAAACATAAACTCAAGAGACTGACTTGTGCAGGGTCCCTGGGAGGCTAAGCGTGCCATGGTGGCTTCCAGGGGGACTCAGTTCTGGGCCTTGGGGACCCTCTCCTCAGATTGCCCCAGACATCATATCCCCTAAGACACTCATCAGAACTTTTCACCAAAGGTAACTGCACACACTGGAAGGCTTGGTGGACATGGCTGAAAATGCAACAACGTTTCTTCAGCTAGAGAGTGCCATGACGTTTCTGAGTCACCAGAGAACACAGAACAAGATGAAACCGCCAGAGTAGAACATGTTGAAAACACATGCACAGAATGACTCTGGATTGGGTTGTAATACTCCCTGAGGAGGGAAAAAATAGATTGTGACAAAGATTAATCAGGCATCCTTTACTCTAATTTCCTGTACTGGAAGTTGAAAGCCAAGAACTGTGGATGAACTTGCATCCCACGACCTCAGAGATGAGCCAAACCCTCCTTGACTCATTCCGCCCTAACCCAGAGAACTCTCCAAGGAGCAGGGCCAAGCCCCTTGTGCCTGGAGCACCTCGTGTAGAGCTTGGCCCTTTCATTTCCTTCCTGGTCTTTGCTGACCATGGAAGCACCACAAATGGTTGCTTTATCTCATGTTTTTGCACTCCATTATTGCTGCTGTGCATTTTAAATGCAATCTTGCCATTTAGATACATTTCACTGAAGATGATTAAATATCGTTCATACAAGGAACTGTCTTTCCAGATATCCTAAAGTCATCCTTTTCAGGTTTTACATTATGTTCACCCCCAAGGAAACTTTCAAAATAATTTATTCACTCATATTTCTTAATAAGCTTCCCTTCACTTCCTGTTCTGTGTTAACAGAGAAAGTGTGAGGGGGATGACCTGCTACATGCTGTTAAAGAGCCTCCCTCTCCCCCTCCAAAAAAAAGGAAGAAGAATTTTGTCCATTTTTAATGAATCATGAGGCAGAATTATCTAGGACTATCACACAGCTAACCCTGTTGGTTGCCTCTGCGTAGATACCGGGAAATGTGAAATGCTGTTCGCATTAGCATCCTCCTTTGTTCGCGGTGCCTCAGGGACAAGGCGGACGTACAGTTCTCTGGGAGAATGGTCAGGTATGTGTTTCTGCCTTGTGTGTGGCTTTAGTTTTCTCTCCATTCTCTACATGTTTCCTTTACAAAAGTACCTACCTTCCTTTTAAGAAACTGGGTTTCCCTGACCTTCTCTTTTTCTCTGCGTTCCTAATGGTCCTTGAAATGAAAATGGTTTGTTGAGTTTCCCGATTTGTACTTGGGACTCCTACTCAATGATTCTTAAGAGGGTAACTGGTGACCCGTGGTTTTCTCTGTTGAGGAAACGCTTTGCATTCTGGCATCCAAACATAGGGGTAGATTTAAAACCAAAGGCATACATGGTTAGATAATTGTCTCCAGCATGGAATCAAACATTCTTTTAAAGCAAAAACCTCAGAATCTAATCTTCCACCACTTTGGTCTCATGGATGAGTTTGCCTTTATGAATGCAATACTACACCATTAAATTATTACTCCACATCAATTATTTCTTCTTGAAGAGTCTCCATGTTACAAGTTTATTGCTCACAAAAACTTAACACTCTAAATAATGACTTATTTTGGCTTTAAATTCTGGGTTTAACTTTTTAAATTTTCTCCTACAATTGTGAATGTGGTTGTGATTGCTCCTTTACTACTATTTAAGTTTTATTTCCTTTTGGGTGATTCTGTGAAAATTGTGTATGGTTACATCCACTTCATCTGGCACTTACAGACCAGAATCTTCCTCACGGTTCCTTATATACCATGATCAGACACGTTATTATCGAAGTCTCAGGACTAATACTCCCTTCTCGGCATAGGTACATGATTTCTTTTTTCATTTCTCAATTTGGCACTTCCTGGTTTAGGGTTGCTGTAGTTAATTGTAGTTATTCAGTAACTGTTCTTTGCGTATAATTTTTCTTTGTAGAAATTAGCCCAGATTTCTTACTGTTAACATGGCTTTGACTTATGTTTTAGTATTTTGTGTTTTTAAAATAGCCCAAATAGTCCATTAATTCTACCAAACAACCAGCCATCTAATTGAAAAAACATCTGTCAGACTAGTTATCTGAATTATTAGATTGGGATTATGTTTCTGTGTACTGTGTAATTAAATTGGGATTATATTACATTGTATACTATGGATTCTAGGCATGTCACGTGTCAATTCTTTTCTCCATGTTATTACTAGTTTGATCGGTTATTATATTTATAGTGGCCTAAGTTGTGTGTTTGAAATGTGGCTGGGATCTATAGGAAAAACAGATGCTATTCCAGTAATTATACCTACAAAGTCGAAGTTACTGTATGCGATAACCATGTAGTATGGAGTTGAAGGGCACTAGGTGGGAAGTAGAAAAGCTGAGATCTGTCCCAGGTCTGTCACAAAATGTCTTCTTTAACCCATCTAGGTTTAAGTTTTCTCATCTGTACAATGAGGGGATTGGGCTATAGTTTCTGAGGTCTCTTCTAGCTCCAAAACGTTAAGACTCTACCTTCAAATGGAGATCAGGTTATCCTTTCTTGACTTTGGAAAATGGTGTAGACCATTGAAGGACCTGTCTTCAGATTTCTATGTCTCTTATCTTGGGTTTCAGGATATCACTGTATTCAACCTTAGGGCAGAAAACACTTTTTCTGGAAATGAACCAATATATCTTGCCATGAAACAGGATAAGTGATTAATTTGGTGTCATGAAATTAACTCATTTTGGTTGCTTTGTTCTTCATTATTGCATTCAATAGTTAGCTCCTGGGAGCTCCAGGAGCCTGTGCTCTACCCACACACTAACAGTCTCCCCAGGTTCTGGTTCCAGGAAGGAGCGCGACCTTCCCGCTGTGAACGAGTTAATTTCTGCGGGCCACTGGGGAGGTGGTGGCCTGGGGGACCACTTGCCTGTAGAGTGTACACATCTGGATGATTCTCCTTGGCCGAGCAAACATCCTGCTCTCAATTTTCCATCCATATCAGTGAAAAGTGAGGAGCGGCCCTCTAGCAAGATGTAACCATGCAATAATGTAAGAAAACTGGCTAACAGTACTTCATTTATTACAGAACTAACTGTTCATTGTTGTTTGTAAAGGAGGAATTCATAACCTCTGCAGAGTTATATTTTATACATGGTTGATTTCCATTTACAAAGGCAGAAAGTCTTGTTTTCTTGTCAGGCTTTGACTTACAAAACTTGTTTTCTTTTAGGTTAGTGTGTGTGTATGTGTGTGTGTGTGTGTGTGTGCATGTGTGTGTGAGAGAGAGTATTTAAGAGAATGTTTAGCAATTAGATGGGGGAGAAGGGAAATAGTATTGGAAATGTGAAAGAGGAAAAAACACATTCAGAAATTCCAAAAAAACAAACACACCCCAGCACACTGAGGGCGTGTTGTGGAAGGCCTTGACAGAGAAGATTCCCACCATAAGTTCCTGTTGTTATGTGCTTCCTCCAGGGGCAGAAGGGACTAGAGAGGCTGGAGTTTTCTAACAGAAGGTGTGCGAATCTGGAAATTCTTAAACTAAAATTGGTGTAATTTCATGCTGCAGGGAGGCATTTTGCTTATGCAGTTGAAATAAAAAATAAAGTGCCTACCTGGGTGTTTCTAGGATAATTGTAAGCAAATGAGACTAATTAGAAGCCTTAGCAGTCTGTAATTAAAAGCCAGAAAGTAACTTACTCTGTGATAACATATCCCTGGATATTTGGAAGAGTCATAGAGAAAGGACACAAAAGCTTCCTGAGGGCTTTTTCTCTCCCAAGGCCAAAGTCCCTGTTCTGTGGAGCACATTGCTTTGAAAACAGGGGATAAATGTATCCAAAGCTTTGTACTCACAGATCTAGCCCCTAAATACACATTTTGGACAATGACTATGGGAAATAGGGAGGGACAGTATTTCAGTACCAGTGCTACTTGGAAAATGCCATTTGCTGGTAAAAAGAATGGGAGCGTACATGGGGCGAGCTGAGAAAGTACAGTAGCACCCCCCAACCCCTTATCTATGGGGAATAAGTTTGAAGACCCCTAGTGGATGCCTGAAACCAAATCCTATACATAGGTTATGTTTTTTTCCTATACATACCTTTTCATTTAAAGGAAGCACAGCTTCTCTTTAGCACATCCAAATGGCCAATATCGCTACTCTCGCACATTGGGACCATCATTAAACAAAATCAGGGGTACTTGAACACAGGCACTGTACTACCATGAGAGTCGATCTGATGACCGACAAGGCGCCTGAGTGACTGGCGGGCAGGCAGGCAGCGTGTACTGCGTGGAGAGGCCGGACAGAGGGATGATTCATGTTCTGAGTGGGACGGGTGGATGGTATAAGATTTCATCACAATACTCAGAACAGTACAAAATTTGAAACATATGAATTGTTTGTTTCTGAAATTTCTGTTTAATATTTTGAGACCACAGTAACTATGGGTAACTGAACCGTAGAAAGGGAAACCACAGATAAGGGGGTGGGGGGTACGTGTACTTTCAGTTGAAGCAAGAGGAAAAATTAAGGCACCTTGCTTCCCTTCTGGGGACTTTTAAATGCTTGCTTTTTCATGCCCCATGGCCAGACCCTTCATGTAGATCAGGTTCTTGCTGGGCACGGGAGGAAGAGTGAAATCAGGGGAGGAAAAGGGGGTGCAATGGGGAAGAAAAGGTCACTTTGCTGAATGAAGAATATTTAAAAAGATAAGTGTGCCATATTCTCCCTCCAATCAGTTTGATTGAAAAGCAAAAATACAACTTTATTAAACACAGTTCATTCCTAATTTACCATGACAATATAAAATACAGAAAAAATAAGGCTACTTATCAACGTGAGAATTTCTAGGGTGAATCTTTGGCAAAAATGTAACCTGCAACAGTTCAGATAGCGTTTTCTTTCAACTGGGTTCAAAAACCATCCATGGCTCTGCAGTTTCCAAAAATTCTAACATTTTCTTATATCTTCTAGTCAGGCATTCAGAGGTACAAGTTGGTTCTAATAGCTTTGGTAGAAACAGGCTGAAAATAGAAATGAATATAAAACATGTTAAACTAATTTAGTATGGATTTGTAAGGCGTGAGTAAACTGGGAAATTAGTAAATTTCTTAAAATAATACATATGAATGTAAGACACATAGGAAGAATAGCAGATGCAGAAAAAGAGGGTAGTATTGTTTTCCCGTGTTTTGTAAAAGTCATCAAGTAAGGCTACCAGTACAGGAACCCAGTGCCTCCTTTAGTTTTCCTGTGACGATTTCCTATCATCCTCACGTTCATGGGCGGGACAGATGCAAGAGAGGCTTTGACTTTGTTTCCAACGTGTCAGCAGCGGCACTGGCTGAAACCCCGGTTCAGCATTCTCGCAGAGTGTGCAATGTGGATGCTTCTGGCTGGTGGGGAGGACGAGGCAGTTGGCTGGCTAGTGGGCTGTGCTTGGGGTGCTCACGGGGCAGAGAAGGACGTCCTCTCTGGTCATGTCCTCCTGATTGGCTTGAACTTGGTTGTGGAAGCTGGCTGCCATTCTCCCCTGTAGATGGGGTGGAGGTGGGTCTCTAGCCACCTCAGATAACTGAGCAGCAGCCGTGACACGCGGAGCAGTGTTTCTTCTTTTTCTTCGGGTGGAAAATGGTGAGGATTGCTTCATCGAACACCGCTTTGAGGCCTTTCTGGGTCAGGGCCGAGCATTCCAAGTAGCACTGTGCTCCGATCTTCAACACAAAAGAGAGAGAGAGGCTGTGAGAGGAAAGACAGAGAGGGAAGCGCAGTGACGTCAGCCCTCCACCGGGCCAAGTGCTTGTTCTACAAGGAACCTGGGGGTTGGTTCGGATAATGCTTTTTATATTTTGCATTTCATTTTGCCTCTGCTATCCTGATTTTTAATATTTTTATATGTTTTTTACTTTCTGTCATTAACAATAGATGGTTCTGGATCCCTCTTGGTAAGCAATAAATTCTGAAAGTGATCCATAACCATGTATTCTTAATATCAGAATATAAAAGTATAAAAGTTAATAGAGAATTGAAAAGGAGTGATATGGTTTCAATATATTTTGTGAACCACTGGGCTGTATCCTATTGGTTTTAGCATCCTCTCATTTGTACACAGAATGTGTAAATTCAGTCCAAGTGAACTGTATCGGTCTCTTTCTGGACATAGTGAGGCAAAGTGTCAACTTGGTTGATAAACATATAGAAAGACAGTGGCTGATACAGTTTTACAGGTTCTTCTTTTTTTTTTTTAAGATTTTATTTGTTTATTTTTAGAGGGAAAGGGAGGGAGATAGACAGAGAGAGAGAAACATCAATGTGCGGTTGCTGGAGGTTATGACCTGCAACCCAGGCATGTACCCTGGCTGGGAATCGAACCTGGGACACTTTGGTTCCCAGTCCGCCCTCAATCCACTGAGCTATGCCAGCCAGGACTCTACAGGTTATTCTTGAATAAAATTCACTTGTAATAGCTAATTCTCAGCAAGGAAATATCCAATTGATATTATTATTTGGTTTTAAGGTACTTTAAAAATCATTTTTTAAGCACTTAATAAAACCCAAAGCATGTAAAAATAAAATTAGTAAAATGCATTTATTGACAGAGACACCCTCCTTGTCAGAAAATAGTCTATGCATATTTAAAGGATAAAATATTTTATGTTTGCTTAGGGCTTTATTTCAAAGCTTTTAATGATTTCATACTGTGGTATATCTGATAATCACAAAACCCTAATGAGAAATAATAGAGATTCAAGCCAGAACTATAGATTCTCATTAGAAAAACACTAGGGCAGAGCAGGCCATGTTTTGCAATGAACTTCATGAAATAATTCATGAGAGGGAGACCTGCAGTTGTTAGTGCTCACAAACTCAGTCTGGGCCAACAGTTTGTTGCTGGCCTTTTAATATTTAGGATATATGGAGAAATGCTGTATTATATGCTTCACATTATAAGAATAACTTTGAAGAATTTAAGCGGGTTTAGAAGAGTGGCTGGATGGTGAACTCCTAGAAACCATAGCAGATAAATGATGAAATCAGGGTAGCAAAACCACATGCTAATAGCTTATGTGAATGAGCCAAGGGCTGGTGCCAGGCAATAGGGAGAGGTGGGGATTGTGGTATGCTGTGAAGTGTACACCACCTCTACACTTGGCAGTCATACTCAGCTTTAGGCAATTGTTGCCATGCAGTAATGTTGGTTCACTATTGCCCAGCTTTGTATTTTTCAAGAGGAGTTGGACATTTGCATTTTTTAGTTACTATTTCCCAATTTTTAAAATAATTTGTGGCCCAAGCAAAATACTGATGTGGGATATCTTTGGTAGCAGCCAGCACTTGGTAATGTGTGGAGTAAAGAAAATTTGTGGTTCAGCTTAGAATAGAGTGGGAACAGCCCCAGAAGGTAACATGAATTGCTTAAGGATATTCAAATAGAAAGTGAAAGAACTAGACCCAGCACCTGGTCTCTTCTCTGTATGTTCTTTGCCTTGTTCCATGACAGTAACTGTGACCCATATCAATTAGTTTCTCTGCAAGAAGCTGATCAAGTAGACAATTAACAAAATAATATTGTCCACCTATTTGAAAGCCCACAGATATAAAAACTAAGCATAATGTTTCAGGAGCTTCCAGTCAAGATGGAGGCATAGATAGATATGCTTTGCTTCTTCACACAGCCAAAAGAGGGATAACAACCAATTTAAAAACAAAAAACAACTAGAACTACCAGAAAATCAAACTGTATGTAAGTCTGGGGCATGCCAAGCAGCAGCTGGTGGAGCAGGTGGTCCCACATTCGTGTGCAGATAAACCAGAAGGAAGAATTGGGGGGTGAGAAAGACCGCACAACCCAGGATTCCAGCACAGGATTGCAAAGCCTCAAACCTTGTGGCTGCAAAAATCTGGGGAGGTTGTGGCAGTGGGATAAACTTCAAGCCGCACAGGAGAGTTTGTTGGAGAGACCCACAGGGTCTGAGAACATACACAAGCCCACCCACCTGGGAATCAGTGCTCAAAAGGGCACAATCCACTTGAGGGAAGCGAGGGAAGTGACTGAAAGCTTGCTGAGAGCTGAGCACGTGGCATTGTTCCCTCTTGGACCCCTCCCACACATTCAGTGCCATGTAGCAGTGTAGTATTCCCATGCTGGCGAATACCTAATGCTTGCCCCTTACAACTTAACAGGTGCACCAAGACAAAGAAATATAGCCCAAATGAAAGAATAGATCAAAACTCTAGGAAAAGAACTAAGCAACAAGGAGATAGCCAAACTATCAGATGCAGAGTTCAAAACACTGATAATTAGGATGCTCACAGAAATGATTGAGTAAGGATGCAAAATAGAGGAAGAAGAGAAGGCTATACAAAATGAAATAAAGAAAAATATACAAGGAACCAACAGTGAAGGGAAGGAAACCAAGACTCAAATCAAAGATTTAGAGCAGAAGGAAGAAATAAACATTCAACTACACAGAATGAAGAAACAAGAATTTAAAAAAAATGAGGAGAGGCTTAGGAACATCTGGGACAACTTTAAACATTCCAAGATCTGAATCAGGGGAGTGCCAGAAGGAGAAGAGGAAGAGCAAGAATTTGAAAACTTACTTGAACAAATAATGAAGGAAAACTTCCCCAATTTGGCAAAGGAAATAGACATACAACTCCAAGATGATCAGGGAGTCCCAAAGAAGTTGGACCCAAGGAAGCACACACCAAGGCACATCATAATTACATTACCCAAGGTTAAAGATAAGGAGAGAATCTTAAAAGCAGCAAGAGAAAAGGGGACAGTTACCTACAAAGGAGTTCCTATAAGACTCTCAGCTGATTTCTCAAAAGAAACCTTACGGGCAAGAAGGGCCTGGAAAGAAGTATTAAAAGTTATGAAAGGCAAGGACCTACCTCCAAGATTACTCTATCCAGCAAAGTTATCATTTAGAATGGAAGAGGAGATAAAGTGCTTCCCAGATAATGTCAAGTTAAAGGAGTTCATCATCACCAAGCCATTATTATATGAAATGTTAAAGGGACTTATGTAAGAAAAAGAAGAATATCAAAACAATGAATAGTAAAATGACAACAAACTCACAACTATCAACAACTGTACCTAAAAACAAAAACAAACTAAGCAAACAACTAGAACAGAAACAGGAACAGAAATGGAGATCACACAGAGGGTTTATCAGCATGGAGGGGGAGGCAGGAGAATGGAGGAAAAAGGTACAGGGAATAAGAAGCATAAATGGTAGGTACAAACTAGACAGGGGGAGGAAATGGAGAAGCCAAAGAACTTATGTGCATAACCCATGGACATGAACTAAGGGTTGAGAGAGAATGCTGGAGGGAGGGGATGCAGGGAGGAGGGAGAGAGGGAAGAAAAAATGGGACAACTGTAATAGCATAAAATGTACACAAAAAAACTAAGCATGAAATAAAATAGCTCTGTTTGGGTCTAGATAGTATGTACTTTTTTTTTTCTTGCTGTAAAGAATGATTACTGTATGAAGGAAACTACCTAAAGAAAAGACATTAGATCTTGAAGATCCATTTTATGGTTTTCATTTTGGTACTGAACTTGAATTTGGCTTGAACTTTGAATTAGATAATTTCTTTTTAATTTTATTTTAATCATTGTTCAAGTATAGTTTTCTCCCTTTTACTCCCATTCTAAATTAGATAATTTTTTTTTAAATAATGAAAAACAGTTGGATGCAAGAGAGGGATAAAAGGGAAAATTTTCCTAGCAGTGTCATGAAATGTCATTTGTTACATGTTGGGATTGTGTCCAATGCTCGACATGAACACATGTGAAAAGCACATTATTCTAGTGAATGTGTCATCTGAATGACGGCTTGTAATCTGCTAGCTCTTGTCAGGCGTCCTGCAAAAAAAAAATACCCAGAAAGTGCTGTGGGGCCATTCTATCCAGAATACCTCCCCACGGATGATTGCAAGCCTCAGTAGTGGATTCTGGAAATCACAGGAGAGCTGGGCTGAGCTCCACTCATCTGTGGGATTCTGGGCTGCCTGGTCCCACAGGACAGGCCGGTGCACTCTTGACTGGTCCTCCCCCACAGTGCTCTGACAGTGTGTGACACGTGGCCTTTTGGTGGTATAGGAGGAGCCCAAACTTGTCTTCCCCAATTCAGACATTTCTGAAGACAATGCAATGGTACATCAAGGGATTACTGTGTAACTGGGTTATTATAACATTATTTTGTTCTCATAGTTCCAGGACGAGTAGCAGTCAGATTATGGACATGATTTGGGAAATGTGTGTGAGAAACAAAACCCAGTTATAAGGTGAGTATTGGTAACCATGCACCAAGTGCTCTGAGCGTTAGAGAGAAGGTTTCGTGCTGGAGTGGGGAAAAAGCACAGCCTGGTTACAGGGATTGCTAAAAAACAAACAAACACCTCCCTCCTAAATGCCCCCAAACAAAAAAAATCTGTTTACACCCACAAAGATGTGAAATGGAATACTGTCTCAAGGAAATACGGCTTTTCTTATAGCAGTGAGTTCCTCCGCTCCTTGGAGCAAAGTGACCTGCACAACCAAATACTTGGAACCCGTAAGTAAGGGTTTGGATCTGCAGATCCTAGTTTAGATACATGTGTCAGCAATCTGGAACATCCTTCACCAGAATGATTTATTTCCAAAAAAGAAAAAGAAAAGAGAGAGATTGAGGAATGTAAACTGAGAAAACACTTTCCTAATAACTTTATAATAACTAAAATTTTGAAATTAATGTGGGAACCATATGGCTTTTGTGAGTCCTGTGCAAAGAGTAAAACAATTTTTATCTTTTTTCCAGTTTTACTGAGAAGGAGTTGACGTCATCACTGCGTGAGTCGGAGGTGCATGCACAGCACGATGGTTTGACTTCGATGCACTGTGACAGCAGCCGTGTGCTGTTACTGTTTGTTTGTTTTCTTGCTTGTTACAGTCATTGTTTATTATAGCAAATGGGTGCAATATAAAAAACAAGTCTTACTTTTCCTTAATCCTGGTATTTTACAAGAATATCCTAATGTATACATTGTTGTACCCTGCTCTTTTCATAAAAAGCTACATAAAATGATTTTCCCTTTCCTTAAAAAAATTATTGTCCCAAAGCTAGGAAATTTATCAGCGGTGTAGAGAACATACAAGTATCTGACAAGAAGAAATAAAAACAAACAAACAGACAAACCCACACTGACCAAATGAGTGGAGAAAACCCAGTACTTCTTCCAGGCTGTCCTTGCAGAGAGCGGGGGGTGGGTTACAGAATAAGGTGGTGTGTAACTGGAAGGAACAGAAGCAGAGGGGTTTTTCCAGCTGCAGGCATGTCTGAGAGGGAACACAGATTCAATGACAACTATAGTTTGCTGAGCTAGACCTCATGTTAAATCAGCTAATTTATCCGTCCACAAGAGCCTTATGAGGCCAGTCTATCACCATCCTCCTTTGCAGCTCAGAAAACTGATGCCCAGAGAGGTTAGATGCCTCCCTCAGGCCATAGAACTATGAAAATGGCCGAGATATGAATTTGTCTCTCTGCAGAGCCAGGGTCTTAGCTGCTCTGTCTAGTTGCCTCTAGCAAATGTAAAAGAAAAAAATGTGGCTGAAAGAGCAAAAGTAATGAACAAGTGGAGAAGGAAAAGGGAAAGTAAGACATATCCTATAAACGGAGAGGAGAGATGAGGTTAGTGGAATAAACAGAGTCAGCTGGACTCTGAAGAAATGGCTAATAGCAGGGAAGTTCTTTGTTTCTTAAGAATTAGAAAAGATACACAGAGAGGGCAACTTGAGAGTCAAGAAAAGGAAAGAGTTGAATGGCTTATGCAAGAAAATCCATCTCCACAAGTCAGAATTATGATCAAGTTGCTGAAAGAGGAAAAGCGTTTCTAAGCTGGATAGATCTGTGGTTGACTTCTCCAAGACTGTGGAGAAGAGACAGCCCACTCGGGGCGGACAATGAGAGTGCACTGCCCGAGTGCAGGCAGCATGAAAGGGTGGGTTTGTGGCAAGCTGAAGGTTACATGTCTTGTCTAAAAGACGGTTTAAAAGTTGTAGCTGATCTGGAAATGCTGGCTAGTTTTGCCAGACCTGTTGTTTCAGAAGCCAGAAATGTGTATATTTATGTAAAGTTTCCAAACTGTTCAATGTTGGCCAAGTAGCTTCTCCACTAACTCACATTAAAAATACCTGTGTGGACTGGTCAGAAGATTTAAATGTGGCTCGTCACTCACCAGTGTGCTCCTTAGGTTTTAAAGGGTGCCTTTGCATGTGCTGCTCACCCTATTTGCACATTTTCTCCCCAGTCCTCTAGCTTTGTCCACCTGCCAAATATCCTTGTCCTTGAACCTGGCTCAGATGTCAAGTGCTCCAAGAATTTTCCTCTGACTCCTCCCCTGAATGTACTCAGCACTCCCTCCATTCTGGTACTTTGCACATGTGCATTGTACTTATTCAGTTGGCATGATTTTTTCTGTCTGTCTCCTATTCTAGCCTGTGGGCCCTTTGAGGGCAGGGGCTGTCTCCTCATCTCTGTAAATGCAGGCCTTGGTGATGAAGTGACAGGTTGCAGTGAGAACAGGAGAAAGAGGAAATGGCTGGCACATAAAACAAGTCAGGACGAGAGTATTTGAGACTATGGTTGGTGAACGTGGTTGAACATTGATTACCGGATTTTTGCAGCAATTTTGCTGCTTTAAACTGCACCAGTAATTGTTATAAACCCAGCAAGACACAAGTGCTAAAACAAAGAGCAAGAAGAACAATAAATAAGGCACAAGGTGAAGAAGATGGCAGGAGACGGCAAAAAGAGGCCAAAGACCGAAAAAGAAAAAATGGTAAAGTGTTTTTATCAAGAAATGTCTTAGGAAGTCTGAACTTGGAACGTCACGTATAGGTTGTAACAGATGGAATTGGGAAAGAGAAGGCACAAAGAATGATAATCCCAGAGCTGAAGTGTGGCAAATCTCCTGGCACATACTGGGTACCAGATCAATTATTGTTGCATAAATCTAGCAACAGGGACATACACAAGTGAGCAGCGGATGGGAAAAGTAGGCTGGAGATTAAAGAACACAATGATGAAAAAAGAGGGAGGATCAAACAAGTGCAGGCACAACAATGGGTATTTATTGTAAATTGACACAAAGTATGTAAATGTGGTTGAATTTGGAGGGCAAAGAATTGTAAATACACATGATATAAAGATGTCCTGTAAAAATAAAATGCCATTTGAAAGCAAAAAGAGATGATAGATGAAAAATGCTTTGGAAATGGAAAAGTATTGAACTAAAGGAATCAGATATGAAAACTCTGAATTTGCAAAGTGTTTAAGTTATGGGTAGACAATGCACATTAAAATACTGGGCTTCAGCATACAAAAAAGAAGCCCCAAGCCTAAGGGCTTCCTTTCAGATTATAGTAGAAGGGGCAGGAAAATGGTTGGTTAAAGCTCACTTTCAGTCTCCGCTCTGCCACCTTCTAGCAGTGTGACTTTACCTACCCCCATGTCTCGGTTTTCTCTAGGAGAGTGGGGATAAGAATATGCACACCTCAGGGGGTTGCTACGAGGACTAATTAAGACAAGACCTGTAAAGCACTTGGCACCAAGACTAGCACTGCAAACACTCCATAAATGCCAGCTGTTATTATAAACTCCTTGACAGGAAAGTCAGGGAGCAGAGAAACTTAAAGCATCTCTATAATTACACAAATTGTGATAAAACAAGTTAAACTCTTGCTTGGTTTTCTTCTAAATTGGATTTTGTAAGCTAAACACGATTCTCTCTGTATCTTAGAGCAGTTGCTAGGAGAAGCTGGCAAAAGGCAATAAAGTGGTGAACTCAGCCATTGTTCCTAAAATAAGTATGACATGAGATGGGAGGCCTTGGAACGGCTTCTTTTCAGAGGGAAAAAACAACTTCCCAAATGAGGAGTCAGGCCAGAACGCTGACGGTGGTGAGAGGTGGGCCCAGAGCAAGGGGTGCTGAAGCTGCACTTCTGCAAACGGCTGGTGCGGGGCCTCCAGCACCTCCTTGCTGTGAAAAATGTATCGCTGGGGATCACATGCAATTATTTATGGAGCTATGTCTTTATGCACTTTAATAGGATAATTTAAACTGGATGTTTGAGGAAAAGACAGAAGAAACTATAGATGTGTACCCATTTTATAGGAGGAAAAAGAAATGGTTGGAGGAGATAGTTCACACAATAGTCAGGTGCACAGGTGTGATGTCTGCACAGGTGTGATATCCACACAGCTAGAATAGAATCGTTTATGTGATTATCAGCTGCAATGACTCAAACATGCTTATCTTTCCAAGACTCTGTTTCCTCATCTGCAAGATGAGACAAACACTGCTCAGGAGCGTTATACCATGAGACCGAAATGGGACAGAGCTTTCAAGTGCATAGTATACTAAGCGCTCTGTGAAAGGCTCACACTAGTAGTTCTGACATTACTATTCACGGAGGTAGGAAGCATTCAGTTTCTCAAGTATTTGTAAGATGTTCTCATGTACCATACCCATAAAAACATAATTTTATTGAGTTGATTTCTATTCAAGTGTATTGTACTTGGTTTTGGTACCTATAAGAAAGCTTTGCCCTGGCTGGCGTAGCTCAGTGGATTGAGCGCGGGCTGGGAACCAAAGTGTCCCAGGTTCCATTCCCAGCCAGGGTACATTCCGGGGTTGCAGGCCATAACCCCCAGCAACGGCACATTGATGTTTCTCTCTCTCTCTATCTCCCTCCTTTCCCTCTCTAAAAATAAATAGATAAAATATTAAAAAAAAGAAAGCTTTAATAAGAGGAATGCATACACTTTTGTTAATGAAGCATTTGCATTAAAAGTTAATTAATTTTTATTTATTGATTGATTTTACGGAGAGAGAGGGAGACAGAGAGAAACATGGACTTGTTGTTCCACTTACTGATGCATTCATCGATTGCTTCTTGTATGTACCCTGACCAAGGATCGAACAGCAACCTTGGTGTCGAGGGACAGCGCTCTGACCAACAAACTACGTGGCCAGGACCTTAATTTATTCTTGATCAGTTTAAAAGGGTGACTCCTAACTCCTCTTGGGGCATGCATTTTGCAGGGTTAGTTACTTTAGAAAGTAAAAGAAATTTCTAAAACCTCTGGCCTAGGTTGGTAGATTTGTGGCTAAATCAACAAAGGGTGGATTCAGGTTATGAAAAAAGATGTACAATCCTTCTCTTGCATAAAGTACCTCATCCCCTTTATTTATTTTTTGTTTCTGCTTTTGTATACATTTTGGTGGTAATCGGGAGACAAAGATTTGGTGTCTGGCAAATACTTATAAAGTATGCCCCTTGCCCCCAAGTCACTATTCATTCATGTGAAGCTCTCAGGAATGAGAAAGGTCTGTTGAAAACAGCTCCAGCTGTGAGAAAGTTGCAATTATCTGCAGCTTGGATTCTCCAACTAGTTACTTTTTGGTCTATGTTATTCTTCTAGATGCTGTTCGTGACATAAGCCAGCTTCTCTAAGTGGTTACACATTATTTGGTGAGAAATACTGAACAAATATAAGCCTGCCAGGTGCTTTACCTAAGTTTCTCCCAAGAAAACCACAAAGTGCCTTTTATGGGGTCATTTAAATGAGTTATACCAATAATAAGCAGTGAGACTTACAAATACATAATCGAATGACTCTGTTTATTCCTAATAAGTATGGCAAGTAGATATTCCAGAGGTTGCTAAATCAAATGCTAAGTGCCTCAGCTGTTTGAGATTCACCAAGTTTCTTTCTTAATGAGAAACAGATAATGCTGGCTGACAAGAACACGAACCAAATGGTCCCTTCTGGCCTGATTACAACAGAGGGGAGAATATGAGGCAGAGAGAAGATGCCGAACACAATGCACTTCAAAATCAAAAGCCTCTGTAGCTCATGCATTCCAAGGCATACACCAAACTCTTCTCAGCATACATTTAAAATTAAATTCACATCTGACCGTACCGCTTTTGCAAGCTTCACACCATGCTCGTAAGTGAGAGGTTTTTCTTTCATGTACAGCAAACGGGCCAAGGTTTTGGGGTCATCACGGAGATCAATCTGGCAAAACACACACACACGTGATAAACTCTTTCTTTTCAGGCACAAGCAGGTATTTTAAACTGTGACATAATAGAGGTCCTCCCCCTTCCCTTAACATCTATGAAGTTGCCAAGTTTTCTTTAAGGAAGCCCATATGCACGCCCCTGTTATGTCTAAAACTTAAAGCGGCTTCTTTGTAAATTTATACATAAGGCTTTTCTTGTCCTCTCCCCTTCAAAGCAGTTACCCCGGAAGCTGAGGACTTTCTCCAATGATTCTGTGGCTGTCTCAGCTCTTTTTGGAATTTCCTATTTATTTCTAGAGCATTCTTACAGGGCCTATGAGATCAGTCTTATTCCCTTACGGAGATGCTCATTTGATCCTAAATTATATCACTCATTTTTAATGGTTACTTCCCGGTAAAATAGATTTCAGCTTTTCTGAACCAAACCTTTCCCCTGAAAGGGATGAAGATTTGGCGCCTGCGAGGAGGGTGTTCTGACAAGTGTGCTGCGGGCTCTGAAGGCAAGTCCTGAAGAGGAGCTTCCAAAGGGTTTGCTCAAGGAGCAAGCATTAATCTTTCCAAAGGTGGAACTACTCTGAAAGTAGCATGTATGTTTGGATTAGGTTTTATAATTTGATAGATATTTTAGTTGCTTTAAAATCCCACTGTGTATGAGAACCCACGCATCCATGGATGGGTGTGACTGTGGGTACGTGCAAGCTTGTGCTTTAAAGAAAAACCAATATATTCATATATTAGGGTCCTATTTATAAGCACATTGTGCAGCTTTACTAATCTGTGTGGCTTTTTGGTTTTTGGCTTTAATTGTTCAGCATAGCGCTCGAGTCATATAGAGATGTTCGCATGTCCCACCACACAGTTTGGCAGCAGGATATCTGGGCTGCGTCAAGATGGACAGACATTATTATTGGGAATCAAGGCAAAGGACTTCATTTAAACAAATAATTAACTTACAGAGCAGAATCATAGACTACATTATTATTTATAAATGTGTCAACTCTATGTCCATATCTTCTGTAGAAAATATTTCTACTTTCTTTTATGTTTTTTAAAAAATTTATCTTTGTCAAGCAGAACATGCAATGAAAAAATAGAAAGCAGCAACCTATGAAACAGACAACAGAGCCCTTCAGTATCTTTCCTTTCTGTGTCTTTGGGATAGTAATTTAGGTTTAACACAGCAAAGGGCAAAATCTATTTACAACTATACAAATATACAAAGTTGGAACAATATTTAAAACCTTTGTGCAATTGCTGTTGGAAATTCAAACAGTGGACCTTTATTAGCTTTCAAAACACTTTTAAAGGCTTTTACAGCTGCAGTTTTGTTTCTCTGGTATATCTGTTTTCACTTTTGTTCTAAGTTCTCGAAGACCACAGGGCTTAAAAGGAATGGAGAGGAGTGAATTTCTGAATCCCCTACCCAAGAGTGTTACTAGGGAGTTCCCGTCATAATGTGACCATTTTTACTGCTGGGGTCATTTTGACATTCACACCTATTTTGTGGCCTTCAAACAATCATTCATTTCAGATATAAAACATATTAGGTGATAGGTGTAATTGACATCCCCACTTCAACCCTCTGGCTCAGGGCTGCAGATGGGTGCCTAGTTCAAAAATTACTTTTGTTATTTAAAATAAAAAGCCGAGAGATTATTTTTTAAAGGTCACACTAAAACTTCCTGCCTCATTAGATAGCTCTTTTGTCTTTTCAACTATGGCTAAATAATTGTGCAGATCTTAAGAACGGACTGTTCATGGGATTGGTGTCTCTGAGATCCTCTTCTACAGTGTTTGGTAGATGAGGGTGTTGAAGAGATCCCTGAAGGGTCTTCCCCTTTCGCCCACCTTTTTTCTAACCTGGGTTCCTATGAGGACGTAAGGCACATGAGGCATGCAGTCCTTCAGCTCCGGGACCCACTCCTCCTGGACATTGTGGTAAGAGGCAGGATTGACGACCGAGAAGCAGATCAAAAACACATCAGTGTTGGGGTAGGAGAGAGGCCTCAGCTGGTTGTAGTCCTCCTGTGGGAAAAGCAAAGAGTTTGTGCAGCCTGGGTGAGGTGGGTGCCATGTGGTTCAGGGAGCAACACGGGCAACCTTCCCCTGTGACCCGCTCCTTCCCCTGCCCTGGGACCTGGTGCTTCCTTACATTCCTAAAAATTAAAGAGCCATCGGTTAGAAAAACCTTTGTGCTGTGCAAGGAGATTATAAATTGCTCTCTTTTAAGATGAACTTTCAAAAAGATAGTTTTTAATAGCTTTAGTAAGATAATTTACATACCATAAAATTCACCCATGTAATGTGTATAATTCAATAAGGATTATTGCAATTCTACTATCACGTTGAAACTGTGTGGTATTGAATATGGACTTAAATTATTGGGCCATTGGCCAAGGCACAGGAATTCTCTCCCTATACAATTTTTAAAAATGGCATTCAAATGTAACATTATAGAAAAGCTAACTAAAATGCAAAACAAGAGTTGTTGCCAAATCAGACACCACAATAGTGGAGGAAATATATTGCGTGTGGGTTTAGAACACAGAATTTGAGATTTGTTTCTAAGTTTACCCAGGAGCCATAGTGTGTGGCCTAATAAATAAAATGTCAGCTTAATTCTTTTCTCCTGAAAGAGTTTTCAGACCAGAAGATGCTCTGGCTGGAGAGTTCCCAGTTACATGAGATGGTTATGTGTGTGCCGTGCCAGTGGGAGGCGATGAAGACACAGGGAGACAGCAGGCCATCTCAGCTCTGGGAAAACATCAGCATGTACCCTTTGTTACATACAAAATGTATTAGGAAGTTCTGAGGTAAAACCTGCTATTTCAGTAGAAGATTTTATGTATTTTCATAGAATTTAGTAACATATAAGCCAAAAGTAATTTTATATGTATGTGTACATACTTTTGCTGTATATGTGTGTATACTATGCATACCTACATGTCCCCACACACCACAATGATATGTGTTTGTACACATCACACATACTTATATATGTATACACACCACACACATATGCATACAAGTACATAGGTATAACCAAACATATATGTTCACACTTATCACATACATTTGCACATAGATGTGGAACAACATGTGATTTCATTTTTTAGGGTCCTGACTACTGTCCCTAATATTAAAAAATTATGACACTCATATATGCTTACTGCAAAAATTTGAACATTCCAATAGTACATGGAGTAGAAGTGAAACTTTGTTATCATTTCCTATATGATCTCTGACAGGATTTCCTCTCTTTCCAGAGGAAACCACTACTTAATGGTATTCGTTCATATTTCAGGTGTACAGCATGGTGGTTAGGTGATCATATATCCTACAAAGTGGTTCCCATGATATTTCCAGTACCCACCTGGCCCCGTACACAGTTATTACAATATTACTGACTGTCTTCACTAGGCTGTACTTTACATCCCTGTGACTATTTTGTGAATATCAATTTGCACTTCTTAATTTCTCACCCTTTTCACCCAGCTCCCAACCCCCTCCCCCTCTGGCAACCAACAGTCTGTATCTATGAGTCTGTTTTTATTTATTTTGATCTTTAGATTCTACATATAAGTGAAATCATATGGCATTTGACTTTCTCTGTCTGACTTACTTAATTTAGCATGGCACCCTCTAGGTCCACCATGCTGTTGCAAGTGGTAAAATTCCATTCTTTCTTATGGCTGAATATATATTCCATTGTATATATGTACCATGGCTTTTTTATTGTCTATTGATGGGTCAAGCATTTTATATTTATAAAGATATTAATATAATATACACATAATAGGTTTATAAAGATAAAATGATTATATAATTGATATTGTTTTGCCACTTTTAAAAAACTTACTGTGTCCTGGATATTTTAAAACAGCAATGTTGCCGTCTTTCTATGGACCCTGTTAATGTCTTTTAAAAAAGGGGGTGCGCATGTACAGGGTGGGGCAACAGTAGGTCCACAGTTGTTTGTATGGAAAATGATACAATAACTGATAAATAATACTGCAAGAACAGATTCTGTGTTTCACATACTCACAACTGTAAGCCTTCTGTCGCCCTGTCCCGTACATGAACACATGTGGCTGGAAGGAAGCTCCTCAGGTTGTGAGGGGCGCTCAAGGTTGGTGGGCTTCCATCCATCTGTGGTTTAGCTACTCCAAGCACCCAGCCACAGGGCTCAGTGCACACACCTACTACTGTTCCTGCTGCCAGTGCTATTCAAACCTAAGCAGAGGTTTTAAGCCACCTAAACAAAATGTAATGCAAGATGGCAAAGATGCTGAAAGATCTTAAAATCCTAAAAATAAACCAAAAGAATTAAAAAAATTAGTTACTGTGGGTCATTTACCATATTTCTATTAAAGCAAATAAATGGAGTTGGCTTCATTGCTAAATAAGCATTGGCCCTGCTGGGCAATTGCTCTTAGCTGAGCTGTGCCCATGTTCGCGTGCGCGTGTGTGTGTGTCTGTGTGGCGGCAGGGGCAGGGGAAGGACTTGGTGAGTATGTTGTTACCAGCCTCCACTCTTTACACAGTTAACCCTGAAAACGAGGTCTTGCCTCCCACAGTCTCTTAGCCTCTCTTCTTTCTCTCTGGGACTTTGACTCTGTAAGTAGCCGTGAGGCCCCGACACTAAGAACTCCTTCCCAGGCCATCACCTACACCTGTTTATGACAACACCCGCCCTCTGCCACTTGTTCCCCCATCTGGACTGTCAAACAAGCCCCACTTATACTCTGTCCACAGCAAATATTCCATAAGTACTGTTGACTGATGAGCAGACACTGGGTCTTCAGTGACCTGCAGCTGAACACAGGGCTCTTCCATGGGCCGCTTACTGTGGTAGGATCGCCCTCGGCGTTTGAGAACATCGTGATGTCCTGTTAGCCAACCGGCTTGCCTTTACCCACTCTCCTACTCTGGGACCAAGTACACCAGCATCTCTGGAGAGTGGGCTTGCGTATCTGGGCTTTCTCACTTCATTGGCCTGGAGCCAAGGACTGCTGACTTACATCATCATCATCATCTTCACCAACAACTGAAGATATATCAAGGGTTTATTCCTAAGGGCCGGGCATTGTTTCAAGCACTTAAATGCATTATCCTGTTGAATCCTCACCACTGGAAAGATGGTCCCATCAATCTTCACATGTCATAGAAGAGGAAGTTAAGCTCAGCAGAGGTTTGGTAATGGCCAAATGTCACAGAACTCTTAAATATCAGGATGGAATATTTAGCCTGAATCCAACTCCAGCTCTTAATTGTGACCACACTATTTTATTCAGAATTTAAAGTGGCAGGTTAAGCATTTTTTTGAATATTCAGTTATCCAGGAATCTTAATACAGACTCACGCTTTGCCCAGGAATCTAAGAAATTTAGAGGTGCCTGCGGTATAGTATCTATTTCATAGCCTGCATCTGTCAGACACTGCCACCAGATGGCAGCAGACACTGTATATTTAAAATCTCAAAGTGGAAACACAATGGGGGGGAAGTGTCACTGGCTGATGTACTTGATAGGAGCGCATAACTGGTAGTTTGAAAGGATCATGTTTATATTTGACTGTTTCCGCTGAAGCTGTCAAGAGTCCCTCCGGCTGAGTGACTTCCGAGTGGGTCCTTCCTTGGGCCTATCCTGCTCTGCCTTCTGATGGCCCTGCTGTGGAAACCTTAGTCTTGCTGTGCTATTCCACTGGAAAAGACTCACTGTACTAATTGCCTCCTCTAGCACTGTGAAGGACGTGTTATGGATTATATAAGGTGAATAAGAATTGGAAAGCCAGTTGAGGGAAAGAAATGAAAATATGGGAAACAGTTCAATATGTAGAAGTGAGATAGGTGAAGATTTTCTTGTTCTTTGTTAGCTCTCTGATGATAGAATAATACAGAATATTTATTTGACTGAATTGGAAAACTACAATTTCAAGGCTGGAGGAGGTCTTACAGATCAGTTAGTGCAGTGCTCCCAAAAGTATGGCCCCTGATTGGCAGCACTGGAATTGATTGGGAGCTCAGTAGGCACGTCCACTCCCAGGCCCTCCTGGAGCTGAGGCTCTGGGGGAGGGGGATTGCACCATCTGTGTCTCAACATGCCTTCCGGGTGACTCTGTTGCAGCTCACGTTTCAGAACCATAGGTTATTGAGCCTCGCTTTCACCTCAGCCAGTTTTATAGTTTAAGAAACTGAAGTCTAGACAGCCTAAGTGATTGCATTGGGACTACTGAGCAAACATACCTTCAAAGAAGCCTCACACCTGGGCAGGCCAGGCTCCTTTCAGGCCCCATTTGCCACTGGCTGCCGCTATGAACTGTGGCAGGGGGGTGCGGGTTAATAACAGGAAGCATCCCCTGGGGACTCAGAGCCGGCCATGGGAGGTTGAGGGACCTGTGCCAGTTGATAACTTAAGTGAGTCTTTGTATGTGTGTGTGCGATGGAGCACATTTTGTGCTAGGTTGGAGGCTGAGAGAGGGAGAATGGCTGTGAGGCGTGGATATAATGTTGCTGGTATTTGACACGGAGAGTGGAAGACCAGTGCTTGAGTGCTTCTTGAAGAGACAATGTTTTAATCTAAAAGAACAACTCAAAGGGGCCGTTGGGGGGGTTAAAGTGGACAAAGAGGCAGGGGTGAGAGTAGAGGTGGGGAAGTGAGGGGGTGGGTAAGGAGGGATTTGGGGCAAGGTAGGCTTTGAGTACTTCCCACCCAACTTCACCCCAAAGGCAGGAGAGTGTTTGGTTTGAAGGCAAGTCTGGTGTTCTGGGATGACTGGGATGAGAAAAGCCCAAGCCTAGCTTTAGCATTAAGTCCATAGGTGAAGCGTGAACCCGCTAGACCAGCCCTTCTCAGACTTTATGTACATTTGAATCCCCTGGGACCTTGTTAAAGGGCGGATTCTTATTCAGCAGCAGGTCTGGGATGAAGCCCGAGGGTTGGCATTTCACACAGTTTCCGGGTCGTGCTGGCACTGCGGGTCCAGGGACCACTCTCTGAGTGGCCAGGAGCATTGTTCTGCATGCT